TTGTCCTAAAAAAACTAACAATTTATCTTCCTATTTATGTTTATGTGTCATTATAAATTATTATCCTCGCCTTTTTCCAAAAGTCCGTTTTCTTTAGTATTCAGTTTTGTATATAGACTAATTTATTTACGTCATGTGTAAGGTTAAAAAAATAAATAAAAAATAATTCATTTAGGTCCGATTTATTTTCAAAAAAGATCCAAACAAAAACCTCATGTAGCACAGTCGCATGTCGTCTATCTTCTGTCACATTACTCTTAAATTTATCTTAGTTCCTATTTCTTTTTTCTGTCCGGGCAAAGGGCGTCAAAAGTTAAATACAGTCGGATTTGCCAGGACTTTCACGATACAAATGGCCTCGTACATCAGGTAGAGAAGTGCTGATTTTGTGTAGGTTTGGATTAACCCAATTTCATCGATAATTAACTACTACTTTTTTGTGAAACAATCCTGTTGTTTGAGCAGAACTTTAAAGGGCGATTTATCACGAGCAAACGAGCAATACTGTCGTGAATTGGCCATCAAGATCGAACGACTTTACACTGTGTGATTTTATCTCTGGTGATACGCGAATTCCGAAATTTATTATCCGATTTTTGGACTGAAGGTAGAAATTCGTAGATATAAGTGAGATAATATTTGTTAGGTAGACAATTAATTGAATGAACACAAAAATATTGATAGCTGAATTAGGCAGTGGTTTAATTTACTTGACTCCATATTTAATATAAATAATTTAGAAATCAGCTTGTATTTCTAGTGTTAATAATAACAATTATACGCTATAGTTGAATTCAGATATAATAGACTCTATTGGAATGTATAAAAGGAGCTGTCATCTGTCATTGCTTCCCATACATCCTAATAAGTGGATCGATCTCGGAAAGTATTCTTTGTTACCAAATAGAAAAGTTTCAACGCTTTTCCAAGGGTTGGTAACCGATCTTGGAGTTCTGGCAACTGACCAAACTTCTTCCGAAATAAAGATTGCAGACCTCGAGCGTCGTTAATGTTGGCCGAAGTGCTATGGAGAGATAGACCAAAATAAGGCGTTTTACGTAATTTAAAAATATGGCGGATGCGAGCATAATTTGTTACATAAGAACTAAGCGTATCCACCAATTTTTTTTAAATATATCGAATGGTGAAAATTTTGCCCGAGTATTGTCATTCTCAATCCAACATTTGAAAACTGCTTTATTTGGATGATTTTCTATTAAATAGATTAATTTATTTTGTTTTTTAAGTATTCAACAATAATATTATGCAATGAAAAAGAAAATAAAAACAGATAAAGATAACTAAATTAAGCAAAGTTTATTTTTCATGTAAATAATATTGTTTTTTCGAATTTTCGAATAATTTAATTAAGAGAAAGAATGGACTTGATGTAAGAAAGCAGTAGGATACAACTAGCGAGTTAATATTATGAATGAGCCATTTCAAAATAAAAATCTCGAGATTTTCCATTCCATGTATAAAGAATGATTAAAACTTTCAACAGTTTAGCGCGACGATTTGTCGTTGTGTGTGCTTTAGCACTTCAAGATTCGATTAAGCGATGGAAAGGGCTAAGATTGGAAGTACGCAGCAATTACATCCGATATCTCTGCATTCGAAATGGACACTTTTTTCGTGATAAGAATCTAATAGTTGTTACAATCGAAAAAACTCTGTGCTATGTCGTGTGATAAATCATTATACAAATTTAAACCTAGCAATATTTTGAAGTGTGATGTGTTTTATTGTTTTTCCTATGTTAGTTGTAGGGGATGAAACAGTAAATAATTTTATTACACGCTACTGACTTTTTAAATGTGGGACCTACTTCCAAGCAAAATGCTAATTTTTTGGCATATACACGAATGCCATTGAAACCCTTATCTGATCGATATTCCTTTAAAAGTGAATTCAGTTTATCCAAACTTTTGCAAGCGTGCAAAATCTTGAATTTTTACAATATTGACTTTACTACGATACATATAAAGTCGTATTTTTTCTATTTAAAATTATTTCCGGATAAAATTTTATACAAGGCATCGTATACTTCTCCTAACTGGAATCTAAGGTGATGGGTTTTTTGAATCAATCTGGCTACGCCATCTGGTAACTGATATGATTTTAATTTGGTTATTTTTTTTTCTTTTTCTGACTTACATACACGAGTGACCATATATACCGCATTTTGATGTATTGTATAAGATTTATAAAGTCTATTCAGCATTTGATCTTATACAGCAAACGCACAGCAAAACGCCATTATTGTCTAGCAATGTAATACATAATTTACTGAATCCTAACAAATAAGACAAAAACATAATACTTGACATACCATGACTTTGAAATAAAAAAATAAAAAACCTTCAATAGAAATGAAATGTAAATAATTAAAAGTAAAACATCCCAACTTATTATTAAAAAGTTCTGCATGGTTTAAAATATAAAATACAACCATCAAATATCATTTTTTTGAAGCTGTGTAGTAACGTAGTTTGTCAAAAAAATATGAATTTGAAAAACAGTAAAGTACCTTTATTTTTGACTGATAAAATCTGATAATTCATCGTTCAAATATCAGTATACGATGTTGCCAAATTATCGATGTCAAAATGTTTATAGAGTAGCGCTAATATGGAAAAACTATGAACTAATAATATATAAATCTTTCATTCTACCATCATTTTGACACACACAAAGAGTGTAAATTAATCTAAATAAATCAGAGATAGATAGGTATTATTTTGACCTAACAATATGCAGTCACATTCAGTTCGAATGCGATAGAAACGGTATATCTATCGCATTCTCAACAAAATTTATTAAGCAAAAACAAAGTAGCGTCGATATAGGGACGTCACAACGTCTTGTGATACCCAATTGATAAAAAAAGCACAATGTAATGTTGCCAAAATGTAACCTTCTCCAAAACATATTAAACAAAAAAAAAAATTCTGCGGTAGGTCACAAACTGTCGAATAATGATTAATTATTATTTAATACTATTTTAATAAATGAATAACAATAACTGTTATAAAAAATTAGGTAATGAATATCGACATTATTATTTAACAATTCACTAGAAAAATACGTTTTTATTTCTGAAAAGCATTAATAAAAGAAAATTATTGTTTAATACTTGATATTATGCACTCGAATGATTTATTATTTTTACATTTTCTGATTTTCTATTTAAAAATACAACATACAGACATTTGACCATCCAGTCCAATCTACTCCTCCTCTGGAAAGCTTCTTATCTAGGTTGCTCTTTTAATATGTTTCATTCCCGGTTATGCAATATATTACCCTAGTTTTTGACAGACGGTTTTATTTAGTATTTTTATATTAATGTATCTCTGCTATTCTAAATTTAATATCCTTTATATGAGTCCTTAAACTATATCCTTTAACGTAGGTATGATTTTCTGAGATTTTTTTGATAGGTATTTCGGTACTCATAAAGAGTGGTCCATAAAAAATATTCCTAAATTAGACCATGATCAACAAAGACAGATATATAAGTCACGTTGGTGATAACTACGCATGACCCTCAATTGAATCCAAACTGTCATTTAAAAAAAAGAACAATTGTACTAATTGCAAATTATTTTTTCAAGAAATATTTTTGTGTATTATTTCATCTCAATCTTAAATAATTGATTGTGTGTGATTAAGTCGGTAGATAATCTAATTTATTAATACAAAAAATTAAATTACTATTCATTTTCCAATCTAACAACTTTCTACAAGTGGAAACATTTACCAGCTTCCATAAAAACTACATTTTTGAAATCAGTTGAACGAGAGGAATTTAAAAATGCATAAAAAATTGGAGGAAATCTTTTAAAAAATTGAAGGGTTGATGGCAGGAGTGAAAGGATGACTTTTTCAGCAAACCTAAATATGGCACAATTTAAATATTAATCGACGTACTTAAGGTGGATACTTTTAAATAAAAAACACTGTATATTGCACCATCATAGTCTCGATGTTATAAGCTGTACGATTTCAGTAGATCACTTTATAAATATTAATCCGTTTGTCCATCAACTTTTTGTACCTGTACATATACATTCTAGGTAAATCAATATTTGCATTGGAGCTTGTTTGCCTGAAGCTGCTGATTCAACCAGAGTGTATTTTATAAACATCACAAAATAAAAAGTTTTAAAAAACATTGTGCATAACGTTTTATCAAAAGCTAATTGAAATTCGGCCCATTTCAATATCTATTTTGCTACTGTTATCGAAAAAACTTTAAAAATAATTAGAGTATCTGAAAATATCTGAAGCAAATATGTATATACCAATGAGGTTAAATAATATGGAGAGGACACGCCCCATCCTCCTTCTTTAGAAGTAATATTGTAACTTTCAAAGAGCTGTCCACTTTTTTAAAATTTTAATATTTCAATAACGATTAAATCTTATAATACAAGGCAAATCATGACTCTGCTTTTTTGAAGTACACTTTTTTTGGTAGTGCTTAAATATAGATGAACAGTAGTTTAAATGTAAGATAATCGATTTGTAGATTGTTAAAATATGTACTCATTATAATTATCAGTTATATATTCTGCATGTTTAGAAAATGAAGATTTATTTTGGACTCTATTATTCATAAAACATACCCCATTGCCTCATGGCATCTCCATTAGTATTATATCTCCATGGTATGTACTAAATACAAATTTAAAGGCATTGGACGTCATTGAGAACGTATTTATTTGAGGTCAGAGATAGCCACAAATGAAATATTGATTTTAAGCCCAAAATATAACAAATAAACCGGTGTACGTATTTTTTAGACGTTTCTTATTAAAAATACATTTTCTACCATACGATATCGATAATAATATTTTATTTATTAATTTGTTTAATGTTTAACAAGTTTTTCTTTCTGTATGTACGTATATCTTGTTGCTATTATGTCTTCGATTGATATTTAATGCCCCCGCTAGTAGCATGTTTAATTTTGCTGTAAAATTGATTTTCGGATAATGCCATTACATTCTAATCGTGGTAAGCTCGTCAATAAAACCACTATAAATCATCATCTAAATAAGTATGCATGCGAATATTACCAGCTCTCATACACACGTGCATGTACTGAGAGAATTAATTTTCCTTTAAACCCAGCGACCTTCGGCTTAATTTCAAGTGCCACATGTTACCCGGAAAATAAAGTGAAACGCCGGACGTGTATATACATTCGTGTTTCGAATGTTCGTGTATTCTTTGCCGGTTTGAAATTTGTCCGTATTCCAGTACACATATTTTTGTTTCTTTTATTCATAACAAAGCTTGGATAATTTCAAACCAAGTTATTTTTATGTATCATAATAATTCAAAATAATTGAAAAATAAAGGAAGGTAGACATATTGTATTTTTACTATGTATTATTTTTCTGCTTGTATAGTAATTAGATCTTTCACCTTATCGAAACTGAGATCCCACACTAGAAAATTCGTAGTATAAAAGAAACAAGAAACAATTTAATTTTAAACACAAGAGCCAAATCTGATGCCAACAGAGGCCATGCTTGGTTTTTATCAGAGATAACAGAGATATAAGAAGTCATTCATAAAATATAATATTCATGGTGCCAAGAACAGTTCGCACTCAAAACATTCTATTTCTAGACGCGGGGCGAGGCGACGAAAGGTGAGAAGTAAAAGAAGGGATACAGTGAAGAATTTTACATAGTTTTAACAATGAATTACTGCCCGAGCTTTTACTACTTAACGTAACTTTTCTTGCCGGTGTAAGCCCTGTTGCCACTTCCAATCTAACATCACTAGGTTTTGGAATTTGTTGAAAATTATTACATCTAATTTAATGAAATTACATCTAACTTGGTTAAAAATGCCTATTTTTTGTTCTAATGCTCAATTAAGTCTTTGTAGGAAGTATTTTTTTTATAATTATTTAAAAAAAATCATTTACATTAGCCCTTATAATCGAAAAAAAATTTAAATGTCTCAGTTTCAACCGTCTACAAATTTGTATAAAAAATCTTCTTTTAGAAATATACCTCTCATTTGACGAAAAACGAAGGCCTAAATGAAAAAAAACTATTCTTTATAAAAGTTTCGCCTATGTATTTACAAGGTAAAAGTACTTTCCTCATATGTGTTGCTTTTAAATTAACAAAAATATAGCAATAAACCATTAGTGATGTCATGGTTTTACTAGAAAGCAAACATTAAAGGCAGAGCCTATCGACTCTTTATTCATCTATCTCAGTATTGAAATGTATGCAATCAGTTTGACCCCTCTTATATTATTTTATACAGGGATTATTGATTTATCCACCATGTTTAATAGGGTGTACTAATTACTTCAAGATTTCTTTTTTATTTTTAATGTAAAATGAAAATAAGACAATATGAACTATTTATTAAAGGTATTTATTGAAGTATCAATTATAAACAATAAGGGTATTGCTTTGCAAAATACAATAAATCCCCAATATAAATAAATTATAATAATAATAATAATTGGAAGGAAGTATATAAAGCATAAATTAATAATATTAAAATTTATAATTACAAGACTTTCAAACTAATCAGAATCAGATTCACCACACGAATCAACATTTTCCAAAACATTAGCGGCTGTGGTCAAACTATTTCTGCAGTTTTTCTGTGCCATACAGGTGCAGGAACTGATACAGTAAATATTTTTTGTCCTGCATTTGCAAATTTTGCTTCCACAGTCTAGAACAGAATATTATTGTTAGAATATTGTATAGTATGTTTTTTGCATTTGCATGATGTAAGTTCTGTTATGTCTGGTGGCAGGTCGGGCAGAGTCTTAAAAGTGGGTATCAGACTTCCATCTTGATCTACTTTCCATCCATACTCTTCAACATTAGGAAGCTGCATCTGGGTTTAAAGAGGTTAGCCAAATATTTAGCTGGTAAAAACATCTTAAACAATGTAGTCTTAGGGCGTCTTCAGTCGGTGGTAATTTAGCGATGGTTTTTGAAGAGGTCAATAATCCCCTCAAAATGTTAATGAAAGTAACATTGGCAGTTTTGAATACATTTTTAGGAAAATGCTTTCAAGATTAGAGAATATGTTTTCAGAGTACTGATCACTGCCAAATCCATACAAAAAGTAATGGTTTTCAAGGTAGGTTTTCCAACAGGTTTTGTTCCCAATGCCGGACAATTAAATGGTTGAATCACAACCGGTCAGAATGAAAAGCAGGCATATTTTTTAGAAGGTTTTCATCCAAATTTAAATAATGTACTGCTAGAAATCGTCTTGAGTCTCCTCGCCCTGTTCTGAACCATATATCTTTAGTCAAAAACTTCTTAAAATAAATTAATAAGACATCTGTATCGTTGCAATAAATAATGCAGCGTGAATGTACCGAATTTTTGGCTGACAATATGTGCAATGAGATACGATTATTAGCGTCTTCGTGATTTGAATTTAAAAAAATCGTCTTTTGATGGTTCAAAATTCTTTCCATATTTATTGATTTTCGCGAATCCACCACTAGTTAGAAATTAAATATGCTTTTGCTGAATGGAGTTTTGAAGAAGTTGCTCTGGCAGAAAATGTGTTAAACGTCTTTTGTTAAATATCTAATGAATAAACAAGTTCTATTGTTGCGGAAGTGGAATATTGGGTCGGTCAATTTCTATATCAATTTATTTCTGAAATCCTCTCTTTTGACGTGTTGTATTTTTGATAGAATGTCCTTTATAATGATCAAATACCACATCTATCATTTGAGCATTAAATTTATTTCTAAAAATAATGTTTACAAATATATGAGCATATTCTTTAAATGATATGCAACTTTTGAGCTTTCCTATTTTGATATAATTTTTGTCTCTGCTACTTGCAGCAACAAATCCGTAATTAAAATTTTAAACGAAAACTTATAACTTACCCAAATATATTTATCTGCAACAGGATGAATGTAGATAAAATAAAGATGCAAAAATGTCTATATTTTTTCCCAATTTATTAGGTAATTTAATATATAACACATACACTTATTAATTCTTTAGTAAAAACTCATAACAATATGACACATTGCCCTATGGAACATAACAAGAAGTTTTATAATAAAAAAAATGAAAAATCCTACCATATCAATAATGTGATACATCAGCCCGCACGTAGAGAGAAACAGAGGTATGCTACGTTTGAAGGTGAAGAGAAAGATACACTGAGAGTCGATAAATTTGACGGTGAGAATTAATTACAGCATAAACCTATGACATCTCTCATCGTTTATTGTTATATCTTTGTTAATCAAAAGCAAAAATATAGTGTTTACTCTGTTACCTTCTCAACACATAAGCAAACATTTTATAAAGAATGTTTTTTTTTCATTTAGGCCTTCGTTTTTTGTTAAATGAGTGGTATATTTAAAAAAGACGACTTTTTAACTAAATTTTTGAAGGGCTAAAACCAAGATATTTACGTTTATATTTTTTTTCGGCCGTAAGTGCTAATGCAAATGATTTTTTTTAAATAAGTATAAACAATTACTCCCTACAAAGATTTTATTGTGTATTTGACCAAACAATTAGTATTTTTTTCTCTATTCGGTGGTATCAATATCTGGATTTTTGATGATAGTGCCCTTCTGCACAGTCTAATTTTGTATTAACTCCGGAAAAAGGGTTACCTTATCATGACCTTTCATCTGTGAAAAATTCAGCTATGTGACAAAAGAGTGGGAGGTGAATCGTTTTCTTGAGCGAATATTTTAATACATACACTTAACTAACAATGACAACAGCGGATATTATACCCACAATATATTGTGATTATACCCTAATGTGTCCCTTAGAATAAGTCTTATTCACGGCCGCACCATATTTGTTAATAGTTACATCTCCTGATTATCTCTGGTTTTTATTAATTGACTCTTGGTCATACAGTCAGTCACCAATTGGAAGAGTTTAAAAAGAGAATCAAATAACAAGTGGATTAAACTTGCTTCTGGCGTCAAGGGCTTTAAAAAAGACAGATATCCACTAGATCACGATTATTAGTGGGTAAAATAATTAAATAACGCAAAGGTAACGAATCTGAAAAAATTATGGAAAAATCAGAGGGACACGAATCGAGGTGATTTTCTATCGTACAAAAGAGAATCAGAAGAAATCCAGCAAGGAATATTACACCTTTTCTTTCATATATTCATTTTTATGTCATATTCTTTAAAACGGATTTAGTATACATTATTAAACGAAAAAAGTAATGCATGATTTATTAAATACAAAGAAAAACTTCAAAAGAAACCACTTAATATTCCAGTCGCTACACACTGCGTAACAAGATCAGATTGCGTGAAAGAGCTTCACATCCATCATTTTCACGGGTGTTCCTATTTCGCATTGTCATGGCAGGAAAAAACAGGGAAAGTGAAAAAAGGTCGAAAGGATTTGCACCTAATTTTCGCCACAAAGAGTTAGGCTTGTTACTTTGATTTGATTAATGTTAAGCTGTCTTGACTGGAGACTTAAGGACGAAAGGTTGATAAATATGGACGGTCCTTTAGGCGACAACAAAAATACGTTTTTATAGCTCCGATAAAATGAATATTTAGAGCTAACAAAATAAAATATCCTTAAAAAAAATAAGAAAAAACGTTTCTATTAAAAATGTTTGATCACATCCTAAGGTTTTAAAAAGGTTGACAAATCTATATAAAAACAAACTAAATTGTAGAAAAAATAAAACAAAATTAAATATTATTTCAACACGAATTTAAAAATAATCTAATAAAATTGAGGGGTAATTCAATAAAAACCTCAGTGTACGTTTTAAAAATAGACTCATTCGCAAAAAGTTTATAATTTTAATAATTTAAAAGTAGGTAACTAAATTGTTCAAATTTGATTGGCTACATCAGTTTTTTTAATAACTAGATTTGAAAAGGACTTTGGAGTTTGTTTAAAAAACGAAGTTGTGCTTTTGAAAGCATAAAAAGAAAGAACAATTTTATTTAATAATCTAAAAGAATGTATCCAAATAACACCGAAAAA